GGAGCTTGCATTTTGTATTATGTTATCTTGAATGTTTGTAATTGATATGTACGAAAATATTATTGCCAATAAAGGTATTTTGCAATAACAAATAACAACAAATATGACTACATGAACTACCACAATATATTATCACTACACATGGTGATTATTTTTCTTTTTGAATTGTCTGGTTAATTTTATACTTTTTACATCTTAAAACAGTTGAATAATGTCAAGATCTGCAGAAGACCCTGCATGGCAACATGGGGTCAGACTTGATTCCAACAAAAAAGACAAAATTATTTGTAATTACTGTCAAAGAGTGATAAGTAGTGGGGTACATAGGTTCAAGCAATACTTGGCAGGGGTTAAGGGAGAAGTTTCTGCATGCACTAGTGTCCCTAGTAATGTAAAAAAACAGATGGCGTCAATTCTTAATGCTAACAAAGGTAAAAAAATTACCAAACATAGGATGAATGAGGAGATAGCTAGTTTATATACACCATCAAGTAGGAATGATACAGAAGAGCAATATAATAATGACCTAGAAGAGCAATATAATAATGAGCTGGACATGGCCACAAGATTGAGTTTACATGAACAATATCAGAGGGAACGTGGGTTTAGATTGCCCGGTGGGTCTAGCTCAGACATGCATGGTGGGCCTAGCTCAGTTATGCATGGTGGGCCTAGCTCAGATATGCATGGCGGGCCCAGCTCGAGCATGTATGGCGGGCCCAGCTCAAATATGTATGGAGGGGTTGGTGGCAATATATAGGAGAATCAGATGTTGAAGAAATTGTTTCTAAGTTACCTAGGAGTGCCAGTATTGCATGTCATGGTCGTAAAGACCCATTTCTCTCAAAGCTTAAGTCACAACAGATGACCCTAAAAGGCATGGTTAAAGGTACAAGAAACATGTTAGGGAGATATGTTGGTAAATGGTTATACGATAAAGGGATTCCCTTTGATGCAACCAATAGCCCATATTTTCCACCTATGGTCAGTGCAATCTAGAGAGTCGGGCCCGAGATAAAACCCCCGACGGCATATGAGCTTAGTGGGCCAATATTAGATGAAGAGGTGAAGGAAGTTAAAAAGTAGATTGAAGAATATAAACAGAGTTGGCCAAGGACAGGCATTACTCTCATGAGTGATGGTTGGTTGAATAAAGTTAGCAAAAAAGAGTTTTTAAACTTCTTGGCCTATTCTCGAAAAGGTATAGCTTTTTTGTCTAGCAAAGACGTATTAAGGACGAAAAAGGATGTAAACTTCTACGTACGACTATATGATCAAATAGTGGAGGAGGTGGGAGATAAGCATGTAGTCCAGTTTATTATGGACAATGTGCGTGCATGTGTTTCTACGGGCAGCAAGTTGATGGATAAGATGAAGCATCTAGTATGGACCCCGTGTGCTGCACACAACATCGATCTTATGTTAGAAGAGATCGGTGAGATCAAAATTGTGAAGGAAACTTTAGATGAAATAAAGTTAGTGTCGAGATTTATGTACAACCACTCTAAAAATTTTATTTATGTTTAGATAACACTCTAAGAAAAAAGAGATAATCAGGCCTGCTATAACCCGCTTTGCGACCGATTACTTAGTTGTGGACTCCATTCGAGAATCTAAAGGTGCATTAAAGAGATTGTTTACCTGTGAAGAGTGGTTAAATGACCGCCTCACGAAGTCTAGTACCAGTATAAAAGTGGACAACATAGTCTCAAATAGGCGGTTCTGGTCTCGATGTTTCAGTGTTGTAGAGGCCACTGCCCCTTTAGTCACGGTGTTAAGAATGGTGGATGCTGACAAGAAAGCTACCATGGGTATCCTTTATGAAGGTTTTGAGAGAGCGAAATCAGCTATTGGGGGGAAGTGTAATTTTGCTAGCAAAGTGATCAAGATTATAGAAAGGAGGTGGAACACCAAATTTGGACGTTCAATTCATTATGCTGGTAAATATATATTTATATCATTACAATGTTTCAGTTTAAATCAGTTTTTTATGAAATTGTAAATGACATTTTTCTACTTATATATTTTTTAGGTCACTACTTCAACCCAAAATTTTTCTATTTGACACCTGAACAACCCCACAAGATTATGAAAGGGGTCAGATACATTATTGCAAGGTTGGAGATAAGCCATCGAAACCAAGTAGCAGCAATACAAGAGGTATTATTTAATGTTTGGGCAATACAAGAGTTGTTATATTTGTGAGGAATAATGCACTAAAACGTAATATATTTGTTTTAGCATGCTATGTATAGGGATGCTATAGGATCATTCAGAACTAGACTTGCCAGGAATTCTCGAACTATGATGGATCCAGGTTATCCCCTCGCTAATATTTTGTTCATTCATATATTTAATCTTATGAATTGTTCTTGCCTTTACAATGCTTTTTGCATTTTAATCCAGCTGAATGGTGGGAGATATATGGTACTGATGCACCGCACCTAAAGAGGATAGCAATCAAGGTGCTCTCCCAGACATGTTCTGCTACTGGCTGTGAGCACAACTGGAGTACATTCCAATGGTTGCACACTACTAGGAGGAATTGACTCGCTTTTGAGAAGCTTCATAAACTAGTCTACGTTCATTATAATTTAAACCTCAGAGAGCGACAAATAAGAAGGAAGCTTGAAGACTATGGGCCGATAGACTTAGACACAATATTTGTCACAGACACAGTAGACCAATGGGTAGTAGAAGAGGAGGAGCCAGTGTTGCACAAGAGAGGGTTCCTTGAGGCTATCGGTGATGAAGATCTTGAAGAAAGTGATGAGCAGCATGAAAGAGGAAGCAGCCAACCAACGTATCCACAATTCGTCGGAGATGTCGGTGATATTGC